TTCATTGAAAATATTTATAAAGGAATTGAGTCGCACTCCCTAAAGTTACAATCCTCTGATTTATTTAAGAAAGTTCGTCTGCTGTCGAAAAAATTCAAAGCAAAGACCTGGGTTATCGGCGACGAGGATGGCGACTCCATCACTGACCTTCAGCTGATCACAGAAAGATCGCGTCGTTATTGTGAAAGCCTTTACAAAAACCCCACTAATGACACCACTTGTGGTCCGGATTTTGTTTGGGCTGATATAGTTCAAGAACCATCCATATTGCATTCGGAAATTAAGGCGACCTTGAAAAAACTAAAGGATAATAAAGCGCCAGGACATGATAACATCACAGCAGAGACTTTAAAGCACTCAGCGACGCAGGAATAGATGTACTGCATAAAATCTGCAATCATATCTGGCAGAATGGTGAATGGCCGGATGATTGGAGGAGCTCCATAATACTGCCACACAAAAAAGCACTACACAAAAAAGGATCCACGAAAGACTGTAACAACTATCGGACCCTTGCTCTTATCTCACATGCAAGTAAAATCCTTCTGCATATTATCAATTCTAGAATCCGACACTTTCTGGATTGGCAAATCCCTCAGGAACAGGCTGGTTTTGTCAAAGGCAGAGGTACTCGCGAGCAGATCCTAAACATCCGACAATTAATAGAAAGATGCCACGAATTCGATACACCTATTATCCTGTGCTTCGTTGACTACAGCAAGGCGTTTGACTGCGTTGGCTGGAACTGCTTATGGCGGGTCCTTCAGGAACTCGGAGTACCCATGCACCTTAAAGCTTTTCTCCAATCCCTTTACTATGGCAGTCAGGGCACTGTAAGGGTCGACTACACTATGTCAAACCGTTTTAATTTCAGAAGAGGAGTTCGCCAGGGGTGTATTCTGTCACCCATTCTATTTAACATATACGGCAAATACATCATGCGCAAGACCCTAGAAAACTGGGATGGAGGCATAACTATAGGTGACGAAGTGACGAACCTGCGCTACGCAGATGACACCACTCTGCTTGCCACAATAGAAGCAGAGATGACAGAGCTTCTGAACAGGATGGAGCACATAGGGTTGGAGATGGGACTCGCCCTCAACAGATCCAAAACTAAAATCATGGTCGTTGATCGCACAAAAAAGTTGGAGCTTAGTGGAACACTAAACCTTGAGCTTGTTGACAACTTTATTTACCTAGGCTCCAACATTAACAATACCTGATCCAGCGAACCTGAAGTACGACGGCGTATTGGAATGGCAAAGGGAGCCATGACCCAGCTCGGTAAAATCTGGAAGGACCATAACATTACCCAGAAAACAAAGACAAAACTGGTGCTCACTCTGGTCTTTTCCATTTTTCTATACGGAGCGGAGACCTGGACCCTTAAAGCAGCTGATCGCAAACGCGTGGATGCTTTTGAGATGTGGTGCTGGAGAAGAATGCTCCGGATACCTTGGACAGTGAAGAGAAGCAATCAGTCTATCTTAGATCAACTGCAGATCAAGACTAGACTGTCCACACTCTGCCTTCGTCGCGCACTCGAGTACTTTGGTCATATTGCTCGGAAAACACCGGATAGCCTAGAAATACTATTCGTGACAGGGAAGATCGAGGGAAAGAGACCGCGCGGGCGCAGTCCGACAAGGTGGTTCGACCAAATCCGCACCACACTAGAGATCCCATTCCACGACGCCCTTCATGCGGCCAATGATCGGAGGCGCTGGCGGGACATCACAAGGAGTAAAATCATGTCGAATTATCACGTCACGACCCTCAGCAGTGAGGAAACGACGCGAGGAGGAGGGTAGCTTATGAGGCTATTCTAATTACGCCCGTACGGGTAGGTAGTTACGCGCACGGGTTCAACGTGGGAGATTTTGCTAACACTAGCAAAGCAAGAGCAGTGCTTCGCAGAATATATCTTCGGATCGGAACCGCGACCCACTGAGAGACGCGAGAAACTCAGTACGCTGTATCTGTGGGTTAATTCGCTCGTCGAACTATTCGTCTTAATCAACAACATGTCGACAACCTCGACGAGGTTAGTGACCGGTGGAGTGAGGGGTCTAAAAGCACTGAAAGTAGATCGAGGGATTCGACATGTTTCGGGTTACAGCGGCTTTATCTGTTGTGTATTTGTATTTGCAATGTGGATTTATCTCTTGTACAAAAAATGAAATTAAACTAAATTGAATGAAATGAAATTTTATGAGGTAAGATGACAACACCGCAGGAGTTAGACAGAATAATATGAAATGCTCATTATAATAAAATACTATTAGGACTACAAATAAGTTTCCGCCGTTTTTTGTCGAAAAAATAATATTTATTATGAAAGAACGGTAATTTAAATTTAATCGAAGTATTGTCCATCACTAGCAGCTACTTTTTCCCATCTCTCAGGCAGAGTTCGGATTCCACGTCTGAACAACTCCTCGTCTTTTGAGGCTATCCACGAATCAACCCAATTTTTCATATGATGTAAACTGCTGCTCGGACAGAGCATGTGCCATTGACCGGAACAGATGATAGTCAGACGGGGCAATGTCTGGTGAATACGGCGGGTGAGGTAGTACTCACACACCGGTACCGCTACATGCAGACGAGCATTATCATGGAGCAGAATAATTTTGTCATGTCTGGAGTAGTATTGAGGGCGTTTTTCCTTCAGAGCTCGACTCAATCTCATCAATTGCGTTCGATAGAGAGCTCCAGTGATTGTTTCGCCTGGATTAAGCAACTCGTAATACACCACACCCAGCTGATCCCACCAAATAGACAGCATGAGTTTTTTTTCATACATACATATGTATTTGGTTTTGCTGTGGATGTTGAAGCGTGGCCAGGTAGTCCCCATGATTTTCTTCTTTTTGGATTATCATAATGTATCCACTTTTCATCACCAGTGACGATTCGATGTAAAAAACTTTTTTTTGGGTGCCTAGCTAGCAGCATTTCACTCATGCATAATCGGCGTTCAACATCTCTCGGCTTTAATTCGTATGGAATCCAATTACCTTGTTTATGAATAATTCCTAACGATTTTAAACGATGTGGGACTGCTTGCTGAGTGACTTCTAAATTAAGTGCAAGTTCTTTTTGTGTTTGAGACGAATCTTCCCCCAATAACTCCGTCAATTCTGCATCCTCATAAATTTTTGGCCTTCCACTGCGATCTTTGTCTTCTACGTCAAAATCACCGTTTTTAAACTTTTTAAGCCACTCATGACATGTTCTCTCACTCAAGGCAGCCTCATTATATACTTTTACGAGCAATCGATGCGCCTCGGCTGCAGATTTTTTTAAATTAAAAAAGAAAATTAAAAGTTCCCGCAAATGACGCTTATTTGGTAATTTTAACATTTTTGGATTAAAAAAAAATGATGATAATACGTTATGAGTTAAAAATATGCTAGGGTTAAGTTGTTCTTAGATAATCAATTTAATTTTCAAGCCGATTATCATCTGTGAATTCGAACGTAAGCCTCGTGCCACACCATTTTTCTCAAAACGGCGGAAACTTATTTGTACAATGTACACTTTTTACATCCAGAGATTATTTTTATTTGCCCACCCTTGTGCATTTTCAAAGATCCTAAACAGTTAATAAGCCATCAATATTACAGGGTTAAAATTTAAGAATTAACAAGATATCCCTTAAATATAAAAAAACACTTAAAATTCACGTATTCTCTGAGCGGCTGGGCGATAATGTCGTCGATTGTTTTTTGTGCCTCTAATATGTCTTTGCTTTTTTTGTCGTGTGGTGAAGGTTTCAGAACATTTTCAGAAGCTCTACCAGTTACTGTTGTTTTTTGACATAAGTATACGCATTTATCTCTTTATGAACTCTACTTATTTTTTACGTTTACTTGATAAACAACGCAAAAAAAAAACATATTTTTAGAATACAATGAAACGTATATATGTTTTTTTTTATTTTATCTTTTTGTTGCCTAGATAGGTGGACGAGCTCACAGCGAATTCTTCAGCGAATTAAAAATTTGTATATTATGTATTACGAATTAATAAAGCCGATCGAAGCAATTTATTTTAATACGACGGTCCGCCTCTCAAATCGGAATGTATGACTAGTTCACTGAAGGTCTTGCGAATACATTTCTTCAGTGCCTTCACTTCCACTCCAACGGGGTATATTTATTGGTTTCTGGGAAACGTGCTGTATAATGAAAAAGTTGCATATTTTCTCAAACGATTTTGCTGCTGCAACTAATATTCGTTATGTAAGTTATGCATATGCTTCGAATTGAATGGTTAAAAAAAACGACATGGAAAATTTAAATACTATAAATACCTAATAAATGTAAGCTTATTTGTTTGTGGCTTCTTAAGCTAAATATTTCAGCAAGCTTAAGTTCAAGTTTTGTTCGATCCAGATAACATGAATATCAGAATAATCTATCTATCTATATATATAAAAATGAATTGCTGTTCGTTAGTCTCGCTAAAACTCGAGAACGGCTTGACCGGTTTGGCTAATTTTGGTCTTGAATTATTTGTGGAAGTCCAGGGAAGGTTTAAAAGATAGATGATAACTATGAAAATGGTCGGAATTAAATAAAAATAACAATTTTGTTTTTCCTTTGATGTGTCCCCCATCGGACGAATTTATTTTGTTTGTTTTAAGTTTATTTTATACAAAAGTTTAGATCTTTTATTTATCGATTGAGGCACTACGAAGTCTGCCGGGTCAGCTAGTTGAGAATAAATATAGTAGACATTTGAGACCTCAGTGCTATTGCATCTCAAAAGTTCGACTTGTAAATTATAAAGATCGGATTCAGAGTAATAATTGGATAACAATTTGCCTCTACTGCATGAGGCAGTAGTGGGTGGTGTTGAGTAATAGTTCGGCGAACGCAACGTTCCGCGAATCGACCATAATAACGTGAACGACAGTCAGCGTGCGCGCCTCAAGCTATCCTACAAACGGGACCTTTGATATCCAGCAGTTTACTTATTTCAATACTAATCATTCGTTAAGTAATAACTGTATCGTGTGTTTTTAAAGTGATCAGTGTTATGAGCCATTTGAGCTTGTGTTGACATTTGTGTTTAAGACGGAGTGAACGGATTCTAAAATCTTAGGTAATGTTTACTCACAAGATACGTTTTTTTTAAACTTTCGCGACTAACCACTCTTATAAACACGGACATTTAACGAGCTGTTATTATATACCAAGATTTTAACTTTTATTCAGATAACGATATTTCGGCACTGTTTCAAAGCACCATGACCACGGATAGACTGTGGGAAATAATAGTAAAACCGGTTAAACAGTGTTTATTTTATAATTATTACTTGTTTTATGCTCAAAACTATCCAAAACACAAAACTTTTAACTATAAGACAATACGTTGAGCGATAGGCACCTACAATTAGTATAAATATGAATTAAAAATAAGTTTCGTGCTATGCCAACTCTTTAATGCACGAACAATAAAAGTAAACCTAAGAATATTTCTTACATAATAATATTATCCTAATATATATTAAGATATTAAGAGTATCATGTTTTAGATAGTGTTTAAATGTCATTATGTACATACATAGGTACCTAGAACTATAAAAGACACCTTCTCCTTTCTGACAAAGAACATAAACATTGAATTAAGAGTAGGTATTCAGATTGCGTTTATAGGATGAATACAGAAGCAGCTTTTACTCCCTTTATATTTGTATTTAAAAATAACGGTTAGGTTAATGGACGGAAAGATTTAATTAATAACTTTACGGTTACGGTTACTTTACTAACCGGTTACGTAGACATATATAATTACATCTCTAAATATACGGTCTTTACAGAAGCAAGGTTGATTCGGATGATTTTTATTGGTACCTACTTGATTCTACCTACATTGTTTCAACTATTAATTTTGATTAAAACTGGAGGAACTAATAACTTTACTAATAGAGAAATTATTTTGTATAGGTAAAAAATATATGTTTTTTTTTATTTTTTTTATTGCTTAGATGGATGGACGAGCTCACAGCCCACCTGGTGTTAAGTGGTTACTGGAGCCCATAGACATCTACAACGTAAATGCGCCACCCACCTCGAGATACAAGTTCTAAGGTCTCAGTATAGTTACAACGGCTACCCCACCCTTCGAACCGAAACGCATTACTGCTTCACGGCAGAAATAGGCAGGGTGGTGGCACTCACCCGCGCGGACTCACAAGAGGTCCTACCACCAGTAAAACCTAAAGGGATACATCTACACTCGGTTAAACTACTCACTTGCTAGTACTGATAAATGGGTTCGCGTTAAAATTCCGGTAGTAAAATAGTATACACAGTAAAGGATGTTATTTTCTAGTGATGTAACGATAACTGTCAGCGACACGAGTTATGTAAGCTGCGTTCGACGTTTTAAATTCAATGTATACTGTCAGATTTTCTGAACGACGTAAATATTCTGTGGAATTATCGCGATCTACAACATCCATTATAGCATGGCGTCGTATTCCTTACATAACTTAAATTAAACACAAAGTGCTTCCGTTTTGTATGGATGGTTGTGGATTGTACATTTTTTAAATTACAACAAAGTGCACGATTTAACGTTGATGGGAAGTTCGATGAATATGAGATTTATGACATTTCAGACGTTTTATTTTACGGCGTGTTACCTACTAAATTAAATGACTATTGACATGTAGTTTTTTTATTGTACGCGATGCGTGGACAAGCACAGAACGGGTTTTTAGTGGTTATTGTGAACCATACACATCTCTCTGTGTAAACGACAAGTGTCCGGTCACCGTCCTCGTCGAACCCGTCGCTTGCGACGAAGGGCTCGACGAGCGAATTAACCCATAGACATATCCCACTGAGTTTCTCGCCGGATCTTCTCAGTGGGTCACGTTTCCGATCCGGTAGTAGATTCTGCGAAGCATTGCTCTTGCTAGGGCCAGTGTTAGCAACACTTCGGTTTGAGCCCCGTGAGCTCACCTATATTTTAGGGTGAAGCTGAAATAGCCTCTGAATAGGTAGAATAACAAAAAAAAAAGCGACAAGTTTTGAGAAACAAGAAGGAATTTTCAATTTTATTGTATGAAATTATTTAAATGTCTTCAATTGGCAAATGTCTTGGCATTGTTTTTATAAAGCTTATATTATAAACCAACCGGTATTCATCGGGTTTGGTATTGACAATAAAATTAATGACAACAGGCTACCATGGATGCTGAGTATTCGTGAACACATTGCACACGACATATAAATAGAACACAAATCTCAACTTAGTTAAAGTATAATTTTCCAGATCGCCAATTTTCACCACAATTTATAGCCGGATAAACGAAATAATTTGTGTTTTGATAACCCTCGGCTAGTGAAAGTGCAAGTTGAATAACACAGCTACCACAGAGGACGGCCAAGCACGCCTCGCTGTACCCAACAATAACTACATACCTAGTCTGACTTAGATTTGCCGAGAATATGTTTGCCCGCTCATTTGAACAGAAATATCATTAAAGTGATCAACACAGAATAATGTGCACGTAACGTATGCAATAAGAATGCATAGGTATATGTGTGTTCCATAACTCGGCACGTCCTTACGGATCCATCAGATCCAATAACCATTGCATTAGACACCTTCATCTCTAACATTAGGAGCAGGCTTAGGGACCTCGGTAACCGTACTCGCCGAATTCTACAAATAGTTCGACGTGCAACCTAATCCATGCATCAGCTCGCTGAGTTTCTCGCCGGATCTTCTCAGCGGGTCGCGATTCCGATCCGGTAGTAGATTCATTCGCGAAGCCGTTGCTCTTGAGTTGTTAGGTCTCCTTCGGAGGCGCTCGGGCACCTATTAGCAAATCCCATCCCTCCGCTGAGTTTTTGCTCGCCCACTTGCCCTGGTAAAACTTGGAAGGCCTCCGGGCCACCAATTATCCTTCAATGATAAAAAAACTCGGGTGCTTGGATAGAATAGCACTATTCAATCTCTTCTCGTAAAAGTTTACGGAACATAAGGATTACGGTTTCACCGAAGAACAGGCAGCGGTCTCCACTAAGAAATATATTATACCAGTAAACTGTCATCGCCAGTTCACTGTGGGCTTGTTGCTGTTGATATTTCTGCCCTTAACAAATTATGCCTTTCGGTTTGATTGGCGAGACAGTTCTTCAACAACACAATTGAGATTTCGATCTTATCTAGAAAGTTATATAGGTATTGAAAGGTATAATAATATATTAAAAGCTTGTGGCACCAATCGCGTTATGATACCTATGAGCTACTGTCTCCGAATAATATTAGATGGATTCTGAGATTGCCATTCATTCAGTCCTATAAAAACAAAATTTATATTATTTCATTTCGCGACGAAATGGATTATAACATCATTCATTGACATAGTATTATCTAAATTTATAGATACAGCACAGCGAATTAGCAAGCTCAAGTGGCAATGGGATAGCCATATTAGCCGGACAACCGATACCCGTTGGAGTAACCGTGTTATTGAGTGGAGACCGCGAATTGCAAAAGTAGAGCAGGATGCTCAAGCTCGGTGGAGTGACGATCTGTGCCTTGGCTGGCAGCAACTGGATGACAGAAGCCGAGGATTGTGCTCAGTGACATGCAATTAGAGAGCCCTATGTCCAGCAGTGGACTGCTATAGGCTGATAAAGACAGTATTTCTTAAAACAATTACTATAACTTTATCATTGTAGTGTATTATATTATTTTTTTCTATTTACTTACATTTTATAAAAAATACTTAAGTATTCAAAATGATTGGCTATGCTAGGTAAAAATGTTAATTAACAGCATATCGCGTAGTAAGTAATTTTCATACTTATTAATTAAAATATTATTTTCAATTTTAGATAATTAAGGGGCACTTTAAGAAGAAATCTAAATTGTTTAGTCGAAGAACTTTGAGGCTCTGCGCGGAACTGCCTACAGAGATGCGCATGTGGTGGCGCGCTTTGTCCATTTGTGCATTCGCATTGGTGCTTCATACAGATGCCCTTCCTCCTGCAACTCTTGGAGATGTTGTTGCCAATGCGGCTTCCAGCCTCAATTCCATGAAGGTGAGTTACAAAAATGAATTTCCAATCAATATTTCATTGAAACCTCAGAAGGAAATTTTCAACCTACACTCATCACAGTGTTATTTTGCTCATCACATATTACCATGGCATCACTGACGATGCTTATCGGTTCCTAAAGCTTAACGCTTAAAGCTCCTTCTTGATCAGATCATTTCGATGCCTCCAATGAACACTACTCTAACTCCAAATTCGTAGGTTTACAGGAGGAGAGTTTAAATGAAAAAAGTTGATAAATATATCTGCAATAATAAAGATTTTATGGTTTTTTCTTGTGTAACTAGCTGATTTACTCTTGCTTCGAACGCCATTAATAATGAATTTGTAACTAATACTTTTAAAATAGTGAACCGATTTGCGTGAAAAACTAAAATTTCCAAATTTTGAGTTAGAGTAGTGTTCATTGGAGGCATCGATTGGGTAAACAAAATTCCCACTCAGTAAGTAAACCACGGCACTCATGCACAACCTTTGAATAAAACGGCACGTTTTAACCTGCGCACGTGTAATTACATCAGGTGAATTGCACTGTCACCCGGGGTATGTGTTCCAAACAAAAATATCGCAACGAGAAACGTATCGCATCTATACGATACACATTAAGCCATTTTACGCAACACAGTGCGTACGCACTCTCATTACTTACATCTTTAGCAAAGCAAAGCGTAATGTAATACTTACACACTAGGTATGTACATAGTTAAGCCACAGACGTTTTAGTTTCAAAGCTATATCCTAGAAATTGTTTTATCTAGTCGGCAATGAATTTTTATAGATGCTATTCTATGATGCTATTTTATAAAAATCTGAGTATTCGCTGTTGCTTTCTAATAATTTCTAATAAAAATATGGAGGCATATGAAATTTCTTTAAAAGAAAACGAATATTATTTAATCACAACAAGGGAAGAATAATGAAAATTATTATAATATTATTTATATGGTAATATTTATCTGAAACTATTATTACGTTAAGTATCGCGTTTCTAGTATTAGCTACAATGTGGTTAGTATTAACACTTTTCCCCGGTCGCCGCCGACCCATTTAGCTTTATTTGCCGACGACACGACTGTTTACTATTCCAGTAGAAACAAGTCCCTAATCGCGAAGAAGCTTCAGAGCGCAGCCCTAGCCCTAGGACAGTGGTTCCGAAAATGGCGCATAGACATCAACCCAGCGAAAAGTACTGCGGTGCTATTTCAGAGGGGAAGCTCCACAAGGATTTCCTCCCGTATTAGGAGGAGGAATCTCACACCCCCGATTACTCTCTTTAGTCAATCCATACCCTGGGCCAGGAAGGTCAAGTACCTGGGCGTTACCCTGGATGCATCGATGACATTCCGCCCGCATATAAAATCAGTCCGTGACCGTGCCGCGTTTATTCTCGGTAGACTCTACCCCATGATCTGTAAGCGGAGTAAAATGTCCCTTCGGAACAAGGTGACACTTTACAAAACTTGCATAAGGCCCGTCATGACTTACGCGAGTGTGGTGTTCGCTCACGCGGCCCGCACACACATAGACACCCTCCAATCCCTACAATCCCGCTTTTGCAGGTTAGCTGTCGGGGCTCCGTGGTTCGTGAGGAACGTTGACCTACACGACGACCTGGGCCTCGAATCAATTCGGAAATACATGAAGTCAGCGTCGGAACGATACTTCGATAAGGCTATGCGTCATGATAATCGCCTTATCGTTGCCGCCGCTGACTACTCCCCGAATCCTGATCATGCAGGAGCCAGTCACCGTCGACGCCCTAGACACGTCCTTACGGATCCATCAGATCCAATAACCTTTGCATTAGATGCCTTCAGCTCTAATACTAGGGGCAGGCTTAGGGACCCCGGTAACCGTACTCGTCGAACTCGACAAAGAGGTCGACGTGCAACCTAACCCATGCATCAGCCCGCTGAGTTTCTCGCCGGATCTTCTCAGCGGGTCGCGATTCCGATCCGGTAGTAGATTCATTCGCGAAGCAGCTACTCTTGAGTTGTTAGGTCTCCTTCGGAGGCGCTCGGGTAGCTGTTAGCAAATCCCACCCCTCCTGGCTGAGCCTTTGCTCGCCCACCTGTCCTGGTGAAACTGGAAAGGCCTCCGGGCCACCAGTAATCCTTCAATCACAAAAAAAAAAAAAAAAGTATTAACACCTTAGTCGCCTTAGTGAATATGAAAACTGAAAACTGTTAATTCGAAACGTCGTAAATTGAAAAACTATTTTTAATTTTGACGCGAAAACCGTATAATTACTTTTTTTTTTAATTAGAAACGATCAAAGATGCTTTGCATACTTTATATTTAAATGGTCTAGATGAGTAGAGCAACTAGCTGCCAGTTATGGAAACTATAAAGCAAATGTCGGTCTCAATCTTGAGACATGATTTTAAAATCACATTTGCATTTGAAAATTACTCGTTTTTTTTCATTATATATGTTCAGTATATATCGTTATGAATTACTCATACTCAGCCGATTTCATAATGTTCCCAAATAGCGTACTGAATAATAATTCAGAGAACGTCAATTTACCTTGTTTCATATTCACAATACCTTAATGAACTTGAAAAACTTTAAAGAATCCAAACTGTTCAACTTTTTCCATTAAACCCTCCATTAAACTTGTTGATTCCTTTTTAGTTTATTAATGATCCATTGCATTTCATTCGAACATGCTATACAACTTGATTAAGAGATTGCTTACTGCAATTTTAACAAAAAAAAAAAAAAACAACTATGTGCTTGTCGAATGTCGTACAGTAGAGAATTCCGTAGTCTGAATGAATGATTATGTTTTAAATTCAGTTTTAAGAGCATCTTATAAAACAATAAATCAAAACGACATACAGATCTCTTTTTAAAAGTTCTAGTTATTTATATCATAATTTATAAAGAATTTTCAACACAGTAAATGTTGATATTTAGATTCAGTCAGAGTTTTCTTCAATTTTAAAAGCATTAATAATATTTTAACGTACATAGAAAGTCTATATGAAAACTTCGTATTTCAAAGACCTCTTGAAAGATACTCGTCCGACATCACTCTAAAGGTTGTGGTCAACTTTGACTTGTGGAGGACGCCTTTGAATCTGCACTAGTACATACCACCGTCCTGCCTATTTCTGCCGTGAAAGAGTAATGCATTTCGGTTTGAAGAGTGGGATAGCCGTTGTGTTATGAAAGACTTAGAACTCATGTTTCAAGGTGGGTGTTGGCATTTACATTGTTGATGCCAATGGGCCCCGGTAATCACTTATTACTAGGTAATCCATGAGCTTGTTCAGAAATCTAAGCAATAATAAAAACACCTGTGTTTACTATTGTTACAAAAGCTATAATGTAAAATATCTTATAATTTAATCCAGCATTGGTTGTCCGTGGGTTGAAAAAAAATGCTTAATCATCATCTAGGTATCATTGGTTACCTAATAGTAATTTCATTTCTATACATTTTTCGGACCTTAGAAACGATTTATAATGAATGTTGATTATTTATTTATTATTTTTTAATTTAAGTATGAGCGTTCATTCTACTGAACCCTTGTGCTTTTTCCGACATACGCTTGCCTGTTTTTTTTCAATTCGGCTACGTACCCACTCCGACTCAATAATGCATTGCCAAAATTTATAGCTACGAGGATTCTGTTCTGTGAATGTCACTAGGTCAAATGTTACGTCACTTGGAGATTGTGAATTAATCTGCCCATGCCTAACCTTAAAACCTTAAATTTTGCAAATTTTGCTCATTTATTTCTAGGAAAAAATCTTAATTAATTTCTTTTTAATTGATCCGTTTATTGATTTGTGAAATTTTTGGCCTGATTAAGCTTTCACAAAAATAGACTTTGGAAAGCTGCCAAGAAAGATTGATAATTAATAAGACGATCTCAAACAATATTTTGTAATTCGAACAGTACCGACAATGTCTTTGAGCTAATAATAATTGAAATAATATAAATAGTAAATCTTAAAATAGATGCAAATATATGCACAAGTAAGGCTGTGCGTATATTACCTACAAAGGTAGGCAATTTTTCTTTCTGTTTAAACAATTATTTGAAACAATCGTTCCCGAGGTCGATTCTGAAATAAACTACCACCCTAAAGTACCTACCTGTCGTTTGATATTTAATCGGGTTACATTGCGTGCGTTCCAAAAATTTAAATTATATAAAAATTTGATTTGATTTTAGTGTTATCGTCCTAAGTCTTTAAATCAATGGCTAATTCTAATGCGGGATTTACATAACGAAATTAGTGTCATGCATGTTGAGCTCAGTTTCACGAAAGTAGTTTCGATATATGCGAAAGTAGTTTCGTTAAAAAATTAGTGTCGCGAAATTCACAGTATCGCAGTAACCATGGCGCCTTCAGCATCAAAGCTATAATTTGCTATATTCAATGTAGCTATCTATAGAATATAAACTTAAAAAAAGACTATCATCAAAAAAAAGTTGGTAGATTCGAGGATGGTCAACAAGAAGGTATTTAGGTGCAATGAAGTTAGTCTCTAAATTAGCAGATGAAGATCCTGAGAGTTATAAAAACTATTTTCGAATGATAATTTTGCTTTTTTACTGTAGGTGTTTCGGGTCCCAGAGACACCCTTGTCGCTGATATTCATTAATAAGATCTAATTTTTATTCTGTACTCCATCGTTGGTTTGCCATTTTCAACGCTTGAAGCGCGTCCGAACTAACAGTACACACGTCCGCACAGCGCAGGCCCTTTCGCGACATTAGTTTCACGTCGCGTCTACACTATGAAATTAGTTGCATGACACTAATTTCACCAAAAAATTGCGCAGGGCACGAAACTAATTTGCATGCATGAAATTAATGCGTGCATTACGAAAGTATTAAATTACACGTGAAACTGTTGGTAAAACTAATGTCACGAAATTAGTTTCATGCCACTAATTTCGTAATGTAAATTCGCCTTAACTGACAAGATCATCGGTCTTCGTTTTGTAGAATGGCTTCGGCACAGGTTATATTGAGATAGTGAGCCGGCTTAGAAAACATAAGAATAAGTGTCAAATGATAATTTACTCCCAGGGTAAAATAATTAAATGTAATCAAAATTTTCGATCAATTTTGATTTAGCACACGGAACTTCGCCTACAGCCTAATTAAATAAATGCATCAGACTATGAATATGTACATCAGAAAATTTCAACATACCGTTGTACAGAGAAAAAAAAGTGTAATCGACGAAAGGTTCGGTAACTAACTATCTGATATTGCGTAAAAATAAGCTGACAATAGCCGTCTCACAAATTCAAATGTTAAGTTTCGTAATGTCATCGATGTATCGTGTATGTAAGCTTTGTATTCATAGACTGTTTCGTTATGTTATTTATCTCAAACGATTTTGATTTATTTCATAGAGAGAGGAAGAGAGACAGATAGAGAGAGAGAGTTTATTTACCATCAAAACGCAATTAACAACGCGGAACAGTCAGCGGGCAGCTATAAATGTACAATATACGATTTTATCGTTGCACACAATGTATCCTCTCTTCTATATCGTTCCCTCACTACTGAGGATCGCGACCAAATGTGACGTTCTTCCACTGTGATCGATCATTTGTGGCATGGACCGCATGGTACAGACTACCACTAAGTGCTTCTCTTACTAGATCTGACCATCTAGCTGGTGTACTGCCCACGGCGCGCTTGCCCTCTATGCGACCCGTAATTATGAGCTTCTCTAATTCATGTCTGGGAGACCGCATGTGTCCGAAGAAGCTCATAACAAGTTCCCGGCAGATGGAAGAGAGCCTTTTTCGGATGTTTAGCTGCCTTAGAATGGACTCGTTTGTTCTCATGGCAGTCCACGGTATTCGTAGCATCCTCCGCCACACCCAGACAACCGTTTTTATTCAAATAAATTTTAAAATAGATACAGCACGTATGTTGAGGTGTACTATTTTGTTTTAACAATATTCAGATCGACCTATCAAAACAGGCCAAACCTTTAAGCAAATTATTAAATAATGAAGAAAAAAAACATAGATACAATAAATGCATACCTACCATACTCATATCGTTATATTACTTACTTAGCAATATACTTACATATAAATAGCACTAAACATAAACGTAATATTCTATCATAATCCTTAAAGACAATACACATAAACCAATCATTCTTTTAAGGCAGTTGAAAGTTCACTTCTCACCGCAGCCGGTATTTATTCCACAATCGAATCGCCTAATGGTGAATGAGTGATTAATTAATGATGAGAAATGCGCCGGTATTTTTAGTCTCAATTTATGATAGATAGGTGACGATATCTCGTCTAGTGTTAGGACACCAAAGCCTGTAATATTAATTTACTGGCATTCAATGAATATAATTGCTAACGGAAGTAATGATGTAACTAACACAAACTGATGAACGACAACACCATGAAGGAATAACTATGAAGGTGATTATATGTACTTATACAATACCTGAAACAACAAAAAAAATAGTAATCGCATTATGAGTCCTCACTTCTCCATCGGTTCTGCTTATTTCTTCCGCAAAACGGTCTTGCATTCGTTATATACCTATATAATAAGATGAGAGTTTTCACCTCATATCTTATGTGTAGGTCCAACTTAACCGGTGAACCCATCTAAAATAATAAAAAGGTTTTCGTGTTCGTTGCTCAACTAAAGTTTTATTATTTTACTATGTCATAAAAATTATTTAAAAAAAAGCAAACCCTTTGAATTTACCATAGACATAGTAGAGAAATTCGTGATTGATTATTTCCACCACCGGCTTGAGATAATTGTACCATAATCAACAGTTTAACAGAAATATTTTAAATGGATTCTCACATAATTATATTATTTCACCTGTCAGGTAAGTAATAATTAGTTGACGCATTTTTCGGTGCATTAATTGAATAACTCGATTGCTGCATTTAAGGACAAGTAAATAATTTATTTTTACTAAAGTCGTAAAACGATCCAAAGAGAAAACAGATCTTGTAAAATTACATACCTACCTATTTTAAAATAAAATAATATACTTATTAAACTATATAATAAAAAATAATGTAATACATACATAGAGTTGTTTTCGTTTTGTATTTTAGTAAATTTCATTGGTAGAGGATGTGCCCGTATTGATAGGCTAGGAGGCTAGACAGGACCGTCATTAGTTCTGGTTTGAAGACAGCACTTATATAATAAAATGTATCATACCTCGTACCTCGTTTTGATATTAACTTTGGTAATTGAATAAAATGTTCGAGTGTATCGAAAGTATTAAATAAAACTGAGCATCAGTTTAACCAGAGTTTGATTTTTATTGGTTTTTAATTGAAATCTCTACTCTTTTAGGTGACCGGAGCTTGGAGACGCTTATCTAGCACCGTTAGTGAGTCAGTTGGATTGAAGCACGCCCTGCGAAGATTACAAGCCGTGCCGGCTCGGGCTGCGAGACTGGTCCACGCCTTGGTAGACCGTATGAGAGTCGGCGGCGGTCCTATCATCTCAACAAAATATGGTGCTCTGCGGGGTCGAAAGCTTGTTACTCGTACCACCAGCCAAACTCCTTACTACAGCTTCAAAGGAATTAGGTACTGCAGAGCTACCCATTAGACATGCTTTTTCAAAGTACATAGCTTAAATTTTAATTATTAGTAAATTAATAAATTAAAACAAAGTTTCGTGTTAATATGAAATTAAATAAGCATAGATTAGGTAGTGCTAGTCCGGTGAGTATTAACCGGTATTAATCAGTAGTCAGTAATCGGTAGTCAATAGTAATCGATCAGTAGTAGGTATTCTCGGTACTAATAATGACTAGTCAGTACTAATCGGTGTTCTGCTAAACCACTGCTCGCGATCTCAAAAATAAGTTTTCTTCAATACCTCTTTACCCATTTGTACTTCAATTCACTTATATTTATGATAGCTAGCGCATTGAACCATCGAGATTAGTAATCGACAACGGTGGCGTTAATATCGAGATTACTTGCATTAATCTAGTTTCGATTAAGTCACAATTTCCAACTAAAATTGATATTTTATTTTAAGGTATGCGCAACCGCCGCACGGGTCTCTGCGTTTCCGACCTCCAGTTCAATTGGAGCCCTGGTCAGGGGTCCGGGATGCGCTAGAAGAAGGAGCAGTCTGCCCTCATCGGTTTATGTTATTTGATACATATAAGGGCGATGAGGATTGTCTCTTCCTAAACGTATATACTCCAGCGTTGCCTGATAATATTTCTGGGTAAACCTTTAATACATTTTAAACTTGTAGAATGAAGAATTAAAATACCTATTTGAAACGTCAATAATACAAAAAGCCCCAATGAGTAGATTTGCTTATAAGTACCTACTTATTATTTTTTATTTTTTTATTGCCCTTGTATTGATATTGTATTGATACTAGATATAATACTACAATACTAATAATAGATACTACTACTACTATACTAATAGTAGATACTAGTAATTAATTCGATTAATTTGACACAAACATACAGTATTATTATTATTTTTTAAATATCCTGTAATCATTTTTAATAGGTACAATCCAAAATTAGCCGTAATGGTTTGGATCCACGGTGGGGCTTTTGCGGTTGGATCCGGCAATGCTTTCTTGTACGGTCCTGACCATTTGGTCGGCGCTGGAGTAGTTATGGTCACCCTAAACTACAGGCTTGGAGCTCTCGGGTTTTTAAGCCTCGAAAACGAAGAAGTCCCTGGCAATATGGGACTCAAAGTAAGCAAAGCTTTCGAGCAATTTATATTAAGCTTTCAATATCTTTAACGGCTCTTAGTTAAAATATTAACGGAGCTCATAAGCATTATAAAGTGAATACCACCCAGTAACATTGAATCAGTCTCAATTACATCGATATGGCGGCTCTTCAAACCGTAATGCATGACCGCTTCGTAGAGGAAATAGACAAGCAAGTGGTAGTACCTGGGTATTGATAACACATTATTTTTAAGTTAATTATTAGTAAACTAAGATAAAGATTATTTAATATCAGCCTTTTTGTAGATACGATATAAGAGTTGGAGATGTATCGGTTCGAAATGCATTAATAGGTGGATAAAAAAAAGACTTTTAAATAGTCCACAGTGCGTTTCCAGAGATCCTTTTTGCCACGTACCATCCGGCTATGGAATGAGCTCCCCTCCACGGTGTTTCCCGAGCGCTATGACATGTCCTTCTTCAAACGAGGCTTGTGGAGAGTATTAAGCGGTAGGCAGCGGCTTTGTTTTGCCCCTGGCATTGCTAAAGTCCATGGGCAACGGTAACCACTCACCATCAGGTGGGCCGTATGCTCGTCTGCCTACAAGGGCAATAAAAAAAAAAAAAGTCTAGTTAAATTTTGTATTTCGGTTTTTAATGATTTTTTTTTAAACATAATTAAATAGTTTTTAGGAATTTTGTCAATTGATGAGTATTTGTTTCCATGTCAAATAATGACATGCATGAAGGCAAACACCGTAAAAATTGTTGGCAGTTATGACGGCCAATTACGTCGTCGCTCTTTCACAACCGACGGTCATGGTTTTAGCATCTTGGTCAAGTCCGAATGACTAAAAATTTTGCTATTGCCCATTGCTGCAAGATTAAAGTTATCCAATCTAATCCAATCCCTTTTATTCTAATTTGTATAAAATATTTCATGCCATAACTTAAAGTGCTTGATTTAAATTGCTTTGTCCAATTTGTTTGTTTCTAGAAGAATAAATGGAAAACGTCGTTTGAAAAGTTTAAGTTTTATCTCCTTAACAACATCACCTGCCTACTTCCATTAAAGCTGAAATGAATAAATTAATTATAAATTATTCAAAAAAGAGACTCATTTTATTAAAATAAATGAACTTGACATTCACCTTACGAATATAACTGCTGTAATCAAACTATGCAGAACAAAGATAGCTCATAAAAAAATAATTAATAAGAGTAGAATTAAAAAATATATTATTATGTATTTATATTTTTGTGAAGGATCAAGTAATGGCTCTCAAATGGGTACGAGACAATATTGAGGCATTTGGCGGCGACTCGTCTCGAGTCACAATCTTCGGGGAATCCGCTGGTGCAGCCTCCGTACACCTTCATATGCTTTCACCGGCCTCACGGGTAATCTACATGTTACTATCAATATGTTTTCTTACATTTATAATTCTATTGACTGTCTTATTTTTTGTTATGAACGTTTTGATTTTAATTAATTTGCAAATCTATTATGTAATCTTTCATTAGTGAATGTGCATAAAACTGCTTTTTACTTTGCCACGTGGCTGACGAAAGACGAAATTCAATTTTGTAAAAATAACGGCCTACCCTTCAAACAGCAAGACACGACGATGATACCAATACATATACACTTAATGCCCGTGTAGGCAGACCAGCATAGGTCCCACCTGATGGTGAGTGGTTATCGTCACTCATAGAAGTCAGGGGCAGAGTTAAGCCACTTCCATTCTTTGTTCTAAACTTTTCAGAATGTTGTGATTATATTTTTTTCATTTTAAAAATTTAAGGGTTTGTTTCATGGAGCCATAGCTGAAAGCGGCGTGGCCCTGTCTCCGTGGGCACTCGCACAACAACCTCGAGAGCGTGCCTTCGAACTCGGCAGAGAACTTGGTATCGACACCAACAGTACTGCAGAATTATTAGGTGAGCCTATAATGTGTAGGTAGTGTACGTATGAGTTGTATGGATACCATTTCCGGTACTACATGTTGTGTCGAAAATGATTTAAGTATATTTTATAAAGGTTAATGAACTTTTGTCTGCAGGATCTAAATAAAAGAATCCCGAAAATGACACTACAGTAAACGTAAAAAAAATAATAATTTTAAAAACTTTAAGTAGGTACCTACTGGTAGGCAGATACCCCCCTGTACTTTTTAAAGCACGTAAATTCCGATTGCGAGCTAATGTGATTTGCTTTACATTACAGGACACGCAAAAATATTAGGGAAGACAAATGTTTCGAACTTGATCTATTTTGTGCCTCCATGCCAGGAATCTCCAATTATTCCTTACTGTTAACCTTCGGGGATGTTTCAATACATCACGGCTTAACATATCGACGCTTGAAAGGCAAACGCTTTGTACATAAATGATAGGCAATAAACATATTCGATGCGATAAAAAAAAAATATTTCTAGGTCTATTAAAATCATTTCAATCCTACAGCTAGATTCGTTAAAATAGATTTTTTTTCAGGTATTTCTCACGTATATTTTAAATTAATTTCAACTTTAAATTAGTCTACTGTAAAGTTCACGCATTGTCGCTTAGTCACGTTTGTCTTTCAAGCGTCGATATGTATAGGAAGGGCTTTCATTACTTTTTAATTACTTCATGTGATTAAAATTTAAAAAAGCAAAGACATACATAATATACATATAAATCATTTGTATAATATACCTTCATTTCTTCTTCAAAAGGTGTTTATGTGCATAAAGGTTTAATCATGAAATTATAAACATATTCCTCTCATTAAATTATTAGTAAACGTTTCCGTTCAAATTAACTATGTCTATAATAAAATTCGAAGAGTGCCGGTAGTGATTTTCTCCCCAAACACGACTGGTTATTAACAATCTCTTTGTATGTAATCGTCTGCTGTTACGCAACCTGAGACCCACGCTCCGCTCACCATCTTAAAGCGACGTCTTACGGTAAACAGTCGCCGTCACCCAAAACACGTCACTTCGGATCCTCCCGATCCACTATCGGTGCTTTTAGGCATATAAGCACCGGTCGATATTCTCGTAAAACCCCTCGAATGCGACGAAAGTTTCATCGTGAAAATTAACTGACAGACGAAGCCCATTGGGTTTCTCGCCGGATCTTCGCAGTGGGTCGCGAAGCACTGCGCTTGCTAGGGCTAGTATTATAAAGTCTCCCAGCTGAGCCCAGCGAACTCGCTTACACATCCGGTGAAGCTAAGATTACCCCTCGAGGTTACTAGCATAGGTAGGCAAAAATACTAATATGCTCTTCAGCGAAATAAAGCTAATTAACGTATGGTGTTCTATAATTATTTATCATTTTGGATGAGGTACCTAAAACTCACCCAAGATTTGAACGAATACATGTAGAGTCCGAATGCCAATTACCTTTAACAACGCAACTCTGGCCTTGAATAACTATGCTGTCGTGTTACGGCAGTCAAGGTCAATAAACAGTTCAATAACACATTAAACACAAAATCGCATGGTTGTGATATAATTACCCCCTTATATATAAAGATATAATAAAATAAAAATAATAATCCCTTAAACAAAATCCTTTGGGACTACAATAATGTCCACGGTAGCGCGGTCTCCGTCAATGTTCTTTCGGAGTTGTCCGATTGCGCTGAACTAATTTTAAGTGAAATAGATACTTTTTCTAATTGTCTCACAACTTACAGGAAAAATCTGTCGCGGATCATTTCCCAATTAAATATAAATTAATCGTAAGCAATCAAATGTAATCAAATCTTAGTTATATTTTTTTTTTTTATTGCACTGTCGATTGCACCTATAATTGAGGTGAAATCTGCCCTGAACTTTTGTCAATTGGTCAATGTTTTGTATTGATCACTTTGTTGGTGCAACTTAATAAATAAAAATGACTTGCTTGTATCAGGGTATCTCCGCGCGACTCCGAGCGAGTTGCTAGTGAAGGCGGGAGCGAGACTGGCAGGAGCTCCTGGTAAATCAGCCGATCTACAGAGCACAGTCGCGCTGCCATTCTTACCGGCCGTCGAGCCTGACTTGCCAGAGTCATTCCTAACTGAAACTCCGAGAAACTCTCTCCCGGGAGCAGACGTACCGTTTCTGACAGGATACAACGCACAGGAAGGCTTAATTTTATTTCGACGTAAGTTTTGTTTGTTTTGTATCATTTTAATCTACTTCACAAGAAGCAAATAATAAGATTTTCCATATCAAAAGGCAGGGATAAGAATCCCTGCTTTTTGTGGTGCCATATCAAAAAGCCTTTCAAAATCATTATTTACGTCATTAAAGAAATGCCACTTAATTTTTTAATTTTTTGCCTAGTTGTGTGGACGAGCTCACAGCCCACCTGGTGTTAGGTGGTTACTGGAACCCATAAACATCTACAATGTAAATGCGCCACACACCTTGAGATATAAGTTCTAAGGTCTCAGTATAGTTTTACAACGGCTGCCCTACCCTTCAAACCGAAAAGCATTACTGCTTCAAGGCAGAAATAGGCGGGGCGGTGGTACCTACCCGTGCGGACTCACAAGAGGTCCTACCACCAGTAATTACGCAAATTATAATTTTGCGGTTTTGATTTTTATAACACGATTTCCTTCACCGTGGAAGTCAATCGTTAACAATTGTTAAGTACTTATTTCATTAGAAAAATTGGTAGCCGCCTGCGGGATTCGAACACCGTTGCATTGCTATATACCTACGAATGCATTGGACGTCTTATCCTTTAGGCCACGATGACACAGTTGGATGGGTCCAGCGGCTTTGTACAAGCGTTGATTGATTAGCCAGTAGATCGCACATCGTCTATGGGCTCCATCATACGTCTACAACCACACAGAGCGTGCACCTATCTACAAAAAAAAATCCGAGGCCAAATAATATAAAAGTGTGGATACAAATTTAATATCAAATATTAGTATTATTAGTAGGTATCGCAAATTCAGGTCGTGCCCTTGAGTTTTATTTTCAAATTGCAAAATCTGCTTTTTAATCTTATTTCAATAAACGTTAGGGATTGATAATACTACATACAGCGATATTTTGCGCACTCGTTTGGCATTCGGAGTTGATAATATTTATTTACAAGAGTGTTGTCATAGTAATTTTCCATTTCATGCCAATTCAATTTCATCCTCTGTGACATTTTGGAAGTGAGCAACATTTTCCCTGGAACGTAGAGATTTGAAAGTATATATGTATTTCGTTTCCGGAGCTAAGATACTTGTTTATCTCTATATATAAAAATGAATTGCTGTTCGTTAGTCTCGCTAAAACTCGAGAGCGGCTGGACCGATTTGGCTAATTTTGGTCTTGAATTATTCGTGGAAGTCCAGAGAAGGTTTAAAAGATAGATAAATATGAAAATGCTCGGAATTAAATAAAAAGAACAATTTTATTTTTCCTTTCATGTGTCCTCCGTCGGACGGATTCCTTTTGTTTGTTTTAAGTTTATTTTATACAAAAGTTTAGGTCTTTTATTCATCGATCGAGGCACTACGAAGTCTGCCGGGTCAGCTAGTTGAAAATAAAAATGGTTCATCACGAACCTTTTAGCTGACATCACGTGGTATCAGATGAGAGATTGTGCTGAAAAGTGTAATGACACGCATTATCTGAAAATTTCAAAGATCCAAGGAGCAAATCCCATTTTTAAGTCGATTACGAAGAAACAAGAATGTATAGTTTGAATAAAAATCAAATAACGTGCACTATAGTCTATGAACTTCGCTTATGCCAGCTGCAAATGAAAATTGAAAACATCAAATAATAGTTTGTCAGAATATAAAAGCCACAGATATGAATACAAACGTTGTTTTCTAGAAGTTTCGCAACACTATTCCTTAGTGTTAGCAGTTAATATATTAATTATGCCTTTTCTTACCATTTAGCGGCTGCGTTTCGAAATATGATTGATGTCAGGAAAGCAGCCGGTCGTAAACTATATGTTCACACTGGCGGGTGCCTCCATCTCAGCCTATTACAACGACGAAGCAATCTTATGTTCAAGTTTTAAGAATAGAATAAACTTTACAATAGAATTGAAACTTCGGTGGTTGATTGGATCGTGAATGCCCACGATCACCTCTGGTAACCAATACCGACCAGTGTGCTTAGTGCGAGTTTCTTAACGTTCTCGATAGCGTAAAAGTTAACTCAATTTTGTATGGAGTTGGCACAGCGCCCCTAACGGCAAACGTAGGCAAACTATCCCATTCCATTCAAATATGAGCTAACTTTTACGCTAACGAGAACGTTAAAAAACTCACACTAAGCACACAGGTGGGCGAGTTCATCCTCCCAACTGTAACAACGAAACAAGAGAAGTGGAACAATTAAAAACGTAATATTACGACAATAACTTGCACTGCTTACATAATGTAGGGTAACATGTCGCTTATGTCACATCCTCGTGTCGGCGCGCGGTAACGCTCAATGTCACAATACCAACTCGACTCATAAGTTTTGGTATTATTTAGTTTTCGCAACGAATCGGTGTCGGCTCTTACTGGAAAACATTCAGCCTAACACAGTTTTATGTTATCGTACTTCAACATTAAAAAAAGAATCGCAGATCGTTTATGACTTTTTTATTTTTATTGCTTAGATGGGTGGACGAGCTCACAGCCCACCTGATGTTAAGTGGTTACTGGAGCCCATAGACATCTACAACGTAAATGCGCCACCCAGCTTGAGATATAAGTTCTAAGGTATCAGTATAGCTACAACGGCTACCCCACCCTTCAAACCGAAACGCATTACTGCTTCACGGCAGAAATAGGCAGGGCGGTGGTACCTACCCGTGCGGACTCACAAGAGGTCCTACCACCAATGATTACGCAAATTATAATTTTGCGGCTTTGATTTTTATTACACGATGTTATTCCTTCACCGTGGAAGTCAATCGTGAACAGTGACTTTAATTAAATGTACATGATATCAAGTCGTCGTGGCCTAAAGGATAAGACGTTCGGTGTATTCGTATCTAGCGATGGACCGGTGTTCGAATCCCGCAGGCGGGTACCAATTTTTCTAATGAAATACGTACTTAACAAATGTTCACGATTGACTTTCTACGGTGAAGGAATAACAATCATGTAATAAAAATCAAACCCGCAAAGTTATAATTTGCGTAATCACTGGTGGTAGGATCTCTTGTGAATTCGCACGGGTAGGTACCGCCGCCGTGCCTATTTCTGCCGTGAAACAGAAATGCGTTTCGGTTTGAAGGATGGGGCAGCCGTTGTAACTATACTTGAGACGTTAGAACTTAATCTCAACGTGAATTAGAAGTTAACTTGAAAGTGCCATATAATACAAATCAGTAATAGTAAGCTGCAGTGAACAGAATTTTTTTATTGCTTAGGTCGGTAAATGTGCTCACGGCCCACCAGGTGGCAGCACTGGTCAATGGTCAATGGTGAGCCAATGGTCCTCGGTGCCCATAGACACATCACAAAGGGAATGTTAGTTAGTTAGTTAAGTTTAAATTGTGTAGTTGTAACAGCTGTCCCTTCAAACCGAAATGCAGTGCTTCGTGACAGAAATAGAAATAGGAGTAGATAATAAGTGCTTAATGGAACTAACATAAAACTTAGTGCCATATAATACACCATTAGACCGTCCCGTTCATTGATTTTATATATCAATGGTCCCGTTGAATGTTTCGGGTATTGAACCAATAAGCACAAGTTTAATATGTTTGCAAGCGCATGACACCGTATCATCTTTTTTGAAAACGTTTACTTCTAAAGTAACCAATTAAAATAGAACACAAATATAATAAAAATATCAGTACCTTTTTGTAGTTATTATTTTAACCACTAGTACTTGAAGTGTAGGTACACTCGTTAAATAAACTATTGCCTTTGAGTATTTATTTAAAATATTGCTCACCGATAATCCACTTCAAAGTTCTTTGTTTGTATGAAATTTGAAATGTTACTATATAGGTACATACGGTATCGTTGGGACCAGTATTAATACATTATATTGTAATACCAGGTTAATAGAATACCGGTTAATAATAATAATAAGGTTAATAGAATTAATAATAATCTTCCGGTTTGAGCACTGAGAGCTCACCTATACGCTAGGGTGGAGCTTAAATAGCCTTTCAAGGCTATCAGCATAAATGGAAAAAAATACCAGAGGAAATATCATTAGCAAATGCATGCCTACGATAAATTTTTTTGCTTACCTACTACTAGTATCCTCAAATTCTCAAAGGGTTGGTTATGTTAGCTTCACCGAATTTGCTATTATACTGTTTTTACATTAACAAACAAAAGTATTTTAAAAATTTAAATTAAAAATCTTAGTCTTAATGTTTGGTACTCTTCCAAAGTGAATTCGCGAAACTTTATGATATTACTTAGGTATGCAAATCAAGCAAATTATATAATCGAAACAGCCGGTACCGGCTTAACTGGGCTACAGCCAATACATCCAACTGTTACATTATTACTAAAATTTACATAATACAACACGTGTTTGTATAGTACATCTCTAATAATCACATGTATCGATATCTCGTTAGTTTTGTTTGTGCTAAAATTCGTTTTATAATAAACGCTGCAATAACGTTTAGCAATGGGTCGTTTCCCAGTACCCATTCATTACATAACTAAAGTTTCTCGTTCGCATTCGTATTTATTTTCGGTAACGTATACCCAAACACGTGAAATAGTTTTAGCTAGAAACTGTTGCGAAATATTCGATGCCCGCATTTTAGACATGACGCAGGCGTTAAGCTATCCTTGATTATTATTATTAAACTGGTTGTATCTGTGATAGGGCCCGTTTTATAAGACCGCAGACTAGGGCAATCGTGGCCCCTTATGAGGGGACAAGACGGGCCTCAAGACAACCCTCTGTGCCTATTCTGCGGTCTTACACCCCCTTACACCCCTGGTGGTTTCCGCTGGCTTTTATATGTGATGGAGTAGTGATGATGATGCGAGTTAAATCGAGGACGCTCCTATGGGTGCGGGAGCGACTAAGCATCCGTATTTTTATCTGTTGTTCTTGTTCTTTCTATCATCTTCGTTGATGTTCTGTTCTTGTCGATCCTGTTTCACCTCCAACTGATTTTTTTTCTTATAGCTTACTACAACTTATTAACTAACCTAGCTACTATGTGGTGTTTACCGCTGCATGACACAACGACGTCAAAAACTCCAAGCCTAATTACCGTCTGCTTAGAACTATAAGACCGCACTAGTTTAGCGGTAGGTAGCGGCTTGGCTCTGCCCCTTGCTGAAGTCCATAGGCGACGGTAATCACTCACCATCAGGTGGGCCGTATGCTCGTCTGCCTAGGAGCAAGGGCAATAAAAAAGAAAAAAAAACTAGTTGATCTTTCGCATTTATATCATTCTGCTCATTTATGAGACAACTCAATTAAATCTAACATTTCGTATTTTATGGCTATAAAGTGGTTAATCTCTTTGACTGCATTTTAAACATGTTTTCCAGGTTTACAACGCTATCCAAAGTTGCTGATAGAATTGGACCAAGAGTTCTTGCGAGTGGTCCCACCGGAGTTACTTCAGCAAAACGTTACCCTAAACCAAAAAATTACGGACGTCATCAGGGCATTCTACTTCCAACAAAGACCTGTCGATGTTAGAAACATTGACAGTCTGATTGATGTGAGTTTTATAGTAATACTAGCCGTACTCGCCCGCTTCGCTGGACATTTAAAATTAACATTATTATTTATTGTCATTATTATTAGGGAGTCTAATACTCACATAAATATCCATTAAGTACATGTATTTTCTACATGAATACCAAGTTTCAAGCCAATCGGATGCATAGTTCAGTAGTTATAAGGGAACATCCGTAAAAACCACCGTAGATTTATATATTAGTATGATGATAGTAGTAGATGATAGTTAATGACAATTAGTGAAAGAAATTGTTTAATTTGTGTATTATAGAATAACAAAAAAAGACCAGTTTTTTTAACGCTATTTTCTAATAATTTTACGGTTTTATCATTTTACAAAAGTTACGTACGTATGTAATGTAATAAATAAATTTTTTTATAATATTTTATTCGTCAGCTATTCACGGACGTCATGTTCTTGAGGCCGACGTTGGAGACCGTGCGGCTTTACGGAGCCAGCAACAGAACTAGTCCCACATATTTATATCGGTTCGCATTCGACGGCGCCTTGGGTCTCTTCAAACGGATGCTGGGTATTACGCACCCAGGAGCCTGTCACGGCGACGAAATGGGATATCTGTTTTATTTCTCGAGAATAAATTACAGATTAGACGAAGGTTCCACGGAATGGGCCGTATCGAAGAAAATGGTACAAATGTGGACTAACTTTGCTAAAACTGGGTGAGTCTATCGGGCATTTTTAGTAAAATTAATCGTTTCTTTCTAAATAAACCTAACAACAGTGCTTGGAATCTCTAGTAAAAAGAAAACCGATCAAATTTAATATTACGTTATCTTCTTAAAATTAAAAACATTTAGGATATCATTTTTCTATTTTTGTTATTCCTTCCGAATTTTGCATCTGTACTTATTACATTTAAATTACATATTTACAATAATCGTAATTACACGGAATTATTAGATATCTTTTCTGCGGCTTTCGCAAGTCGAAAACATAATTAAAATCACTTTTACGGTATTTTATTTTGCACAATAGTCAAATAAAGACGAATAAATAACATTCGTCAAATGAAAATATGTCTCTGTTCATTAACAAACAAAATAATTTTATTTCAGAAATCCGACACCTCCGGTCGATTACGAGTCGATTGTAGATTTTAAATGGTTACCTGTAAATGAGAGTTCGCACGTCAACTATCTAGATATAACTGGAAACTTTACATCGAAAGTGGACCCCGAGCAGAGGAGAATAAATTTTTGGGACTGGCTCTACGAGAATTTTGCGAAAAAACCTTGAAAATCCGTGATAGTACTGTTTGGGACTGTATCAGTGATTTAAATTACGGATGATAAACTGACTTATTATGTAGAAAAAGATGGAGACGCACGAACTAATAAGACTTAAAAAAATGTTTTTATTTTTTTATTGCTTAGATGGTTGGACGAGCTCACAGCCCACCTGGTGTTTGGTGGTTACTGGAACTCATAGACATCTACAACGTAAATGCCGCTACCCACCTTGAGATATAAGTTCTAAGGTCTCGGTATAGTTACACCGGCTGCCCCATCCTTCAAACCGAAACGCATTACTGCTTCACGGCAGAAATAGGCAGGGTGGTGGTACCTACCCGTGCGGACTCACAAGAGGTCCTACCCGCAGTACAAATGATTGACTTTAATTTTAAAGGAGTGACGACATATATTAAGTTAGCGCTACAAAAATCTTTTACATGAAACATATTAATTAACATCTAATGAAATCTATTAGGTGATCTCAGAAATACGCGTGAAGTCGTGAAGAAGCGTTTTAAAAAGATCAAATAAGTGACGAAAGAGGATTGCGTAAATGTCACAATTTATCTATTTTGGATCGTTGTAACTTAAATTTAAAAGTGTGCTACGTATCGATTTGCAGCAATATTATGATGTCAATGACGTGACGTTTCTCTTTGTGTTTCCCTTGACGACAAAATATAAATATACACCTCACGAGATTCGTTCCAAAACTTTGTTTAGCAAACTTCAGTAACCCACTCCCATCTTTTTCATCAATTACCTACATACTCCTAACGTTCGTGAGAACTTTATTAATATCTTCGATCAAAATGAAATCGTGATTTCATAATAAGACATTTTGTATGCCTGATTTTTTGTTTAAACTTTTGAATTATAATACGTTCTACTAACAGAATATGTACATAAATGATAATTCATTTGTCACGTATTTTTATTTTGAGAACTTTTGCCTAGGGTCTGATTGTTTTTGTTATTATCTCGTGCGGGTGTTCACCCACGGGAACACGCGAGTAAATTAGCTAAGAACCATTAAATCAGAAGCGCTTGTATATTCTAGAAAGTACTCTAGTTTCATTTCTTATAGAAGTGAATAATGAGGTTGTGTATTATTAAATTAAGTTATAAATATGTAAAGTTTAAATTTAAAAATCACATCGTGTTACTAAAAACTATTTAATTACTTAGTATTCCGTAACAATGATTTTTATTTCACGATAACGGCCCGTCTTGTAGTAAGTGGTTTCCGGTGTCACTCACTTTGAGACATAAGGTCTGTCTCAATTATACAGTATAACGAAATTAATACTATGTTAAATTAATACTTTTATAATAAGGAATTAGAATAAGTAGGTAATAAAACTTTTTTCTAAACGTTCTTATTTTATTTAACTAATTTACCTACACATGTGTAACAAGAAAATGCTATTTTTAATGCGTGGAAATACATTAGTATAAATAAAATGGTAGGTAGTTATTGTAAAAAAATATAAAAGTTATAAAAATATTAATTTTTTTATAATTGTAATAGTATTGCACTCGAAGCCAAATGCACGAAAATTATATTATACAATGTAGTTTTGATCGCGTCGGCGGAGACTCGTATTTAGCAAGGTAAGCCTTTACTGTTTCTCTGTTTTATATTAGCAGCATTTATTTCAATATCGAATTTTGTCAAATTTCCATTCAGTGGTTTCTAGTAAAACAGACTTTCGTAATATTATTTGTAAACCAATTTCTAACATATGTAAAAAAGTAACTTCTAAAAAATAACAAATAAAGATACTTATTTTTTTTGCAACAATCGATACGAATAAAATATGTCTATATTCGGCTCTATCAAATTAATCTTATATCTAACTGTCCGAAAATACGATCAGTAGTTTCCGAGTTGTGAGCGAACAAACTGACAGACAGACCTAACATATCAATAACATGAAAATATTTCAATATTACAAAATAGAAAACATTTTCGTAAAACGTCTTGAGTTGTTATTAGTTATGGGCAAATTTCAACCGCACCAACACAACACTAGTGCTGCTCCTTTGGTCTTTGCAATCACGGATTGTGGCTGTCGCTTCCCACTTTATGCATGGAGGATAGAACCAAGGAGCACCTGTATACAAGGAGCACTTCTATAGCGGACAAGTTGAAAAAATGTTCAAGTTATAGTTCGAAGGATCACCGAAATAGCGCTAGTGTATGAAGTGGAAATGGTATGACTATAGATAACAGTTTTATACTGAATGAAGAGTGCTGGGCTATGTTCCGATATACGGAGCACGGAACAGTGCTCGCGGTGTATACGTCATAAAATATGTAAACGTGTATATGACCTCATAAATGGTCACCATTTTTCTACCGTGAACAATCGACATCAACCCCACGAAAAGCATAGCGGTGCTCTTCAAAAGGGGTCGCCCTCCGAACACCACGTTGAGCATCCTTCTCCCGACTAGGCGCGTCAACACCTCCGCCTCCGCCATTCGCCCAATCACGATGTACGACCAGCCCATACCGTAGGCCCCGAAGGTCAAATACTTAGGCGTCATCCTCGACAGAAGGACGACATTCCGCCCCCATATAAAGACGGTACGCGACCGTGCCGCCTTCATACTAGGACGTCTCTACCCGATGATATGCAGGCGAAGTAAAATGTCCCTTAGAAATAAGGTGACACTACAAAACTTGCATACGCCCCGTCATACTGTCAGTAACGTCAAGGTTCCGCTGAAATCTCGCCTCTCAAGGCTATCAGCTTAGGTAGGAAAAAAAACCCGTGAACACTAGTGTTTTCGATGTAAGGTGCTCTCAGTGCTTAGAGCACATTTACCGCGCATAGCCTCATTTCAATAATTCGGTTATAAGTTTGTACTGGTGGTAGGACCTCTTGTGAGTCCACGCGGGTAGGTACCACCACCTTGCCTATTTCTGCCATGAAGCAGTAATGCGTTAAATATAACAAAATTTAGATAATAATTTTTTGTTGAAGTGAAAACAACACTAAAAGAGGTCAATGACAATATACTGTACTGCGTTCCGTTTTAAACAGTGACAGGTATAGCTAACTACGAGTATAAAGGAGCGGCTTCGCACTATACTTAATTAACGTCACACCTTACAATGCTCATAGTCAATATTGAAATATAGCTGAAGTGTGGTAGTTTAGGCGCTGTTTTTAAATACTTTCCACTTGCTACTACTGCGCCATCTTAATTGGCTCCTTTTCAACGGACACTTAATAAATAAATTAGTGCTCTTTACTTCACCCTCCATAACTAGATGGATCAGTGTACCTACATCTTTCTATTGAGAAAAAACAAAAATAATGATCGTTTATTGTCGAAGGTGGCCGAGCTAGCGGTATACACGATGATAAGAATTTACTTATACTTTATATAAACAGCTCAAACAGTTTCAAATATCCAAATATTTCATAATTCAATATATATATTTTTAAATAAATTTAGTGAATATTTTTACGTTTAAGGCACTATGGCTTCCAGTAAACACTATGAGAAATAGTGCTGTCCTTACATGTGATATTCTCATGCAATTTCAGCATATCTTATCTACAAATTTTAATAATCTTTTTTCAGTTTTGCATGTGTTTTATGTGACCAATTATGTGCTATCTACAAATGAGTACATATTAATATAAAATTAATAAATTGCTTTACGTAAAAGGAAAAAATCTGAATATTTCAAAGATTACTTTAGCTATCTGATGGATAACTTGATAAAGATCTAAATACTAAATCAAACTACGTAGCGTCTTATATGACAGCGAATATCCCCACAACTGAAAATTGGCAGACGAAATTGTATGACAAATTAACCATTTAAATATTATTGACCATTGTTATTGAAAACAATGGTATTACAATTTTTCAATCGGATAATGTGATATTCTGTGTTTAACACACACATAATTGTATTGTTTCATTATTAAATAGCATTCCACTTAGACTATAATACCCACAGTATCATTTTTACTATGCATTTGGTTTAATTTAGAAAGACACAGTTATGCCACCACAGCTTTTGACAAGTTTTAACACGTGTAGATACAAAATTTTAAAATATGATTTGCTGCATACTGTAATTACTTAGAAAGGAACAAATCCTGAGCTTGTTGCAGTTTCTTTTCCATGTTGAAATTGCATTCTAAATCGGTGGTAAAGTCAAGTCGTCGTGGCCTAAAGGATAAGACGTCCGGTGCATTCGTATGTAGCGGCGATGCACCGGTGTTCGAATCCCGCAGGCGGGATTTTTCTAATAAAATACGTACTTAACAAATGTTCACGATTGACTTCCACGGTGAAGGAATAGCATCGTGTAATAAAAATCAAACCCGCAAAAATTATAATTTGCGTAATCACTGGTGGTAGGACCTCTTGGGAGTCCGCACGGGTAGGAACCACCACCCCGCCTATTTCCGCCGTGAAGCAGTAATGCGTTTCGGTTCGAAGGGTGGGATAGCCGTTGTAACTATATTGAGACCTTAGAACTTATATCTCGAGGTGGGTGGCGCATTTACATTGTAGATGTCTATGGGCTCCAGTAACCACTTAACACCAGGTGGACTCGTCCATCCAACTAAGCAATAAAAAAGTCATGACTAATTCAATGGCCCTGGCGTCTATGTAGGTACATTGCTCGGCAACGTCAAACGCATGTTGAGGCGATCAATTAATCGCTCTCTATATCGCTGATATGATGCGATATAGAGAGCGATATATAAGTTAACAACCGACAGGAGGGAATGTAAGAATAAAGATATATTAATTACTACGGAAGCTATTATCCACTTGGGTCACTGACTTGTGGCACACAAAGTATCGCTTACATAAATAATAACTATAGACACAAGTCTGTAAGAAATATGTATATAAGAAGTACAATATGAATGGTGCCCAGTTTGAGATATTCTCGTAAACTCAATTAAATTTTGTATAATCCGAATTTAAAATTAATCAAACAGAATATAGTCGATTGCGCTTCATTATCTTATACCTTTAAACGAGCAATTCTTGTATATAAATATATATAATCTGAATCTCGGAAACGGCTCCAACGATTTTCATAATATTTAGTATACAGGGGATTTCAGGGGCGATAAATCGATCTAGCAACGATTTATTTTCAGAAAATGTTGT